ATGGACTCCGGACTAGGTGCGTTCCTCTAAATCTTCCAACCAATATGACCGATTTGCGAAAACAAGGTCAAACAACTTCTATACAACGAAAGGATACTGCGATCACGCAAAAGGCCACACCATCTTGGTCTTCATATCTTTAATAAAACTTTATTTTAATTTTCAGTAGGAATATACGCAAACATTTAGTTACATCTAAATACAGATTAATTAAGCTTTCCTTGTTCTCGCCAAATAGTATTAGGCTTATTCAATTGCAAAACTATCTTTCTTTTATATACAATTGCTATAAATTATTTGATTTATACAGCTTTCAAACTTGCTCCATTCCAAGGATTTTGAACACCTTTATTTTGTATATATTTAGTATAAATCTACCAAAGTGATCAAAGATAGTAATTACCTCATACAATAAATCTGAACCAAGACGATGGGCTTTTCTTCTTACGTTTAGCTAGCACTATCTGTAAGTTATAAAAATCCTTTTAATAACTTAGACACTATCCCAAAGCTGAGTAAATATAAGAAATATCTAATTAAGTTGCAAAATCCTGTCCCTGAAGTGTAGTACACGGTATTTAATAAAGAAATGAGCAATAAGGACTGTAAGATCCCTGATTAATCTCTTTAAACGATGGATAATTCTACTAACTAATTTATAAAATTAAGATATGCAGCCTTAAGATAAGCAATTCGGGGATAGCTAATTAGGCTGCCTATTGCTCTACGCAACTAGGCAGTGACAAATTTAACAATCATTCACGAATATTCTCTAAATAAATGGATGATAATTAAATTATAAGATCGCATATACTATTACAAGTTAAAGGCATCCGATTAAAGTTAAATACTCTTTAAACAAAACCATATAACAAAATTCAATAAGGACATACCAAGAATAATTGGGCAGATTTCCGTTATTTTTTTCGCGAATACACTTTGTCAGGGGCACAGTAAAAAGCTCCTCAGTTCGGGATGCCACTTCACTTGTTATCAACTGGGATTTTATGACAGACTGAAGTAACTTTTATTCAAC